CATGTACCAAAAAAAAAAATGTCTCAGAATGTTGAGCTACTGAGCTCAGAGGGATAGTGAGTGTCTGTCAGCATGGATTTGACAAACAGGAGAGTATATACAGTACAGAGTGAAGGTTGAATCTTGACACATGCCCTTTAAAGTCCCATTATCACAGAAATACAGACAGAAGCAGGAGAGAAGGCAGGAGTGATGTGACGTCAATCAGGAACTACTATGAAAGTACACATGTACACACAGGGGAAGTGGTGGCTCATCGGCTGAAGGATGTGAAACGAGCAAAAGCTTCCATGTCGTCTAAAAAGTAAACGACGCTACAATTGTTGAAACCCAAGTATCCAGTATCATATTTTATATTGTCTACTTATTCTGACCTAGACAAACACAACTCTTCATATTAGCAACATTAGCATCTGTGAGCCTTTTGATGTGTTCAATTAGGGATTTCACACTCTCTGTGAATGTGTAGCCACAAAAACTGGATAAACCTTGAGCTTCTGTCAGGCGTTGTCATTTTTAATTACTTTAACCTGACAGCTGTTATTTTTTTAAAATGTTTTTGTCAAAGAAAAAAACAGTCATTGTAGTGAAATGGAGGCAGATGTTTTTCTTTGGTGGAGCCTGAAGTTAGAAACCTGAAGACAATGAAAAGGAAAGATGTGCAGTAAAAATAAAAATCAGAAAAAAGTAAAATTCTTATAACCTTGAAAGCAATAACTGCTGCAAAAAAAGTTTATTATTGATAAAACATCAGTATATCATGCGGATGGATTTCTAACCATAGGAATCAAACATCTGTGTTATTATAACCAGTTTTGTCACAGTGTTGTCTCTCACCCATCTCTGTAGTTCATAACCATGTCCACCAGGGTGTTCAGTGTTCTGGTGAGCTCAGGTGGGTTTGGAGGGAGTTTCTCAGCTGGTGGGCGCCCCCGCTTTCTTTTGACCTTTTCACCAGTCACCTGCCCAGCCTGCAGAACTTTCTCTCCCTGCTGTTCACCTTTACGCTTCTTAAGACTGATGTCCTCTTCCATGTCGTCCAGAGAACCGTTCTCTCCTGCTATAGGCTGAGGAAAAATGGAGGGAAACGTTTATAAAGTACAGAGCGTTAAATCTGCTTCAGCCTCCAGCTCAATGATCATCACTCAAAAACAACCAGGGACAAAATGAGTCACAAAAGAAATGTTTTCTTTCTTACTTTTATCACCCCACTGAGCTCTCTGTAAAAATACTTCAGTATTTCTCTCTCGCTTGGCTGAGGAACTGTGTTCTTTAGGATACAGTATTTGCTAATTTTGCTTTTCAAAACAAAAGCAATATATATATATATATATATATATATATATATGTATATATAGGTCTAGTTTTGTTTTCAGCACACATTGATGAGATTCCCAACCACTAGGTGGCAGCACATTAGAAAAAAATATTATACTTAACTGGTCTGAAAATCATTTTATTTATTTACTGTAAATAATTTATCTCTGTTCGTCTGTGCGACAGTAACAGGAAAACAATTAAATACTAAATAAATTCCACCTGGTGGACGCAGGCTATAAAAAGGTAAAAATAGAAAAAGCCTCAGAGCTGTTGAAAATCCTTGTTTGTTTTTTCTTCATTTCCTGAACGTACATCAGTGTTGTGTTCAACTAATCAGGCACAGGTTCCACACTCGGAAACTAACTTTGAAATCATAGTCATTTGAACTAGATCAATATAATTCCTTTTAAGATTTTTGTGACATTTTTGTTTGGCTGTGCACCACAGGATTTTTCTACTGTAAAATATGCGCCGTGCCTCAAAAAAGGGTTGGGAATTACTGTCAAAGTAACCATTTGATCCTCGACCGATCAGTAGACACGGCTTTGATGTAAACATTGTAGCTTAAAAGCAGAAGTATTTTTTTTCTCCTCTTTCAGACGCATCCTGTAAAGATCCTTGTTGTTCGGGTCACGTTTTAGTTACACTTTGGAAAAGGCTGAAACAAGGACGCCAGAGTATTCAGTGCAAAAATCTATTATATCTACATCCAAATGAAACTACAGCATTCATGTAGCACAGATCTAAAATTCTTTTTAATATTTTTAATATTCCACAGCAAGCATAACTAAAAACAGTTTTTCCCCTTCTAACATGTTTACAGAGAGAGAAAAAGAGAATTTTTCTCATTGAATACACTTTGTTCTGACTTTGTATGGTTTTATAGTAACTGCTGTGCTGCAAATTTAGGGCAGTCACTTTGATTTAAAGACTATAATGTCACAGCAGCGTCGAGGGGAGCGGAGGGGGGGGGGCAGATGTTTCCACGTTCAAAATAGATGTAAATACATTGGAAGAAGACGAGTTCTGACTACAAAACAGAGCAGCATTTTCTTATTTGCACTGAAATGAGACAGAAATATGAACTGAGACTTTCGTCGAGGAGAGTCTGCGCCTCACACTCTAATATTCTCAACCCTTTCAAATATCTGGAGCGACCCCAGTGTTTTCCACAAAGACAGTTACAAGCCAGAAACATGAGTGCACACGCAGCAGAAGCAACTAAACCCTGCCGAACACAAAAAAATAAAAAATACACAGAGGGAGAAAAAAAATATGGAAGGCAGGCAAGTCCGATGCTAAACAGAACATTGAGACATCAGTCATACGTGGGTTCAGACACGGCGTCGCTCTCGTCTCATAACAGAGTGTGCAGATGTGAACGTGTCTTTCTCAAGGACAGACATGAAATCATCCATTTAGTTTTTCACACAACGGTC